TTAATTTGAGAATATGAATGTTACAATAAGGCCAGTATTTTCTACCACATGTGGCCACCCCAAAAAATATTTAATTTATAACCACTTGGTACCACCATCCCCAGCACTGAGAGGAGCCTTCCAGGCTGCCATACCACCACCTTCAGTGCCGAGGAGGTTACCTGTGAGGGTGCCAGCAGCACACGCGCACACACACACACACACACACACACACACGCACACCATTGAAATGAGAAGACACACAAACAAGTCTCAAAACCAGACTTCCAGATCACCTAATTTATAACCACTGTTTTTCCTCTGAGTCAGTGAAAAGACAAAGCTAGAGGATAAAAGAGGAACAGCTTTGTGTCGTAAACTCCTGAAGATGGGGGGCTACACTAGTTTTCTACTGCTGCCATAACCAACCACCACACTGCATGGCTTAAAATGGCACTCAGTTCTGAAGTGAGAGGTCTGACGGGGCTCAGTGAGCTAAGGTCAAGGTGTGGGCTCGGCTGCTTCCTCTGCAGTGCAAGGCAGGATCCGCATCTGCCCCCCGCAGCTTGCAGGGGCACCTTATTCCTTGTTTGTGCCCTCCTCACACAGCTCTCTGTGCCTCTCTGCCAGTTACAGTGCCCCAGCTCTCACCTTCTGCCCCTCTCTGCCACTTTTAAGGGCCCCTGAGATGACTCTAGGCCCATCTTAATGTCTTTTTGAATCATATCTCCAATTTCCCTTTTGCCACATAAAGTAAAATGTTTACAGGTTCCCAGAACATCTTCAGGGCATTATTTTGCCTATTATAAAGACAAAGATTGGGCCCAGGATTTAGCTCAGTGGTTCTGCTGCCTGTCTCACAAGTGCAAGGACTCAAGTCCAACCCCCAGTACCAAAAAAAAAAAAAAATCCAACAAAGCTATAAAGGCAGAGATGGACTGAAGGATGCTTCAAATACCAGCAAGAAGACTCTAAAAGTTGCCATCTGAGGTCCAAGTGGTTGCACAGCCATCTCCAATCAAATCACTTAGTGCACAGACCTCAAAACTGTCTGCATTCTGAGCCCTGACAACTACTCAGCCTGTCCCAGACACTCCAGGGCTCTCTTTAATACCACATTTGCCATGAAGCCTTCCCATCATCCCCTCAGTAATTATGAAGCACTTTCCCTATGCTTCAACACTTGGCTCTATACTACTATTTATTTTTATCTCTCTTATAGGATAATGAGAATTGGAACAATCTCATTATACAATGCCCTACACTTTACATCCACTCATGCTGGCATCTGTCAATGCTTCACCAGCACCCACCTTACCTTATCTGCTCCTCACCATCTCCGTTTCACAGACCTAGTGCCTGAGGGCTAGGGCCGGGGCTGGTAAGGCCTAGTCAAGACTTTTACTCAGACATATGGAGAATATGCTTCCTAATAAAAGATAACAAAGATCTCTCCAAATTTTAAGTTTACTACTATTTGGCAATTGCAAAAGGCAAGGAGTGAACAGTAAAAAGTACTCAGCAGCCATAAAGTTAAAACTCTGGGGCCAGCAGAAATGGCCAAGATATATTTAATCACACAAAAAGCAAGAACCATGCACCTATCAAAACACCAAAGACATAGGATTTCTGCACTTTATGTAAATTTTACATCAAAACAAAAAACTATCAAATTCTAGTTAGTAATACAAACGTATTCTTTGGCTGGGAATGTAGATAATCGGACAGTGCTTGCCCAGAATGTTTGACCTCCAGCACTGCAAAAAAAGAGGGAAAAAAAGTGTATTCTCAAGTTTTTGGGAACAGTATAATGAGGTCTGGATTTTACATTGAAATGCAAATAATACAACGGTAGGGTCTAGATTGGGGTTTATAAGTACTCACTGTAAAATTCTTCCAAATTAACTGTATGTTCAATTTTCATAATGAAATGTTGGACAGTAAATATGAAGACCAAGCAGCAGAGGTACTGTGCAGAAAGAAGCAAAAATGATGCACCTGGATGTTCATTCCAAGTCAGAGATACATACACAGTGAAAAAGCAGCCAATACCCCCACCCCACCCCACCCCCGCAGGGACACAGCTGGAAGCCGAAAGAGCCCTGGGTCATGTGGACATGCTAGGAAGAGTGCTTCAGGTCAAAGAGCATTGTAGGCAGAGTAGAAATGGTGACAGTGCGAAATTTTTTCCCCTTAAAACAATGCTTTAAAAACCTAAAATATTACTTAAATTATGTTATTATAAGGCTTTGGTGCTTGAATTATTTAATGAAAATCAAGGAAATCAAGCTGGATATTGTGGTGTACACCTCCAATTTCAGCACACTGGGAGGCTGAGCCAGGACAATCACAAGTTCCATCCCAGTTTGGGCAATTTAGTGACTTAGTGGTACACTGTCCTTAATATAGAAAATTAAAAAGGGGCTGGGGAGCTTAGTGTGAAGGCCCTGGCTTCAATCCCCAGTACGACCAAAAAAAAGGAAACCTATCATTTCTAATTCTCCTTAACACAGTTTTTCTAGTCAAACTGTAAAAAAAAAAAGGAATGAGCCACTTCCATAATAATTTTACAAGGCATGAAGATATAAGGTGCATTGGAATTCTTTAAAAAATTGTTGGGCCAGGGATTTAGCTTAGCAGTTTCGCTGCCTGCAGTGTAAGCGCAAGGACTAGAGTTCGATTCCCTGGTACCAAAAAAAAAAAAATTGTTAAAAAATTGTTAAATTTTCTTGACAATTTAAAACAAAACTGTTTCCATTCTTATTTATCCTTTATTCTTATTTCACATCTTCTAGAAAGGCTTTTAAGTGCTTTCATAAAATTCACACATATTAGGCTGGGGATGTTAGCTCAGTGGTACAGTGACTTCCTGGCAAGCATGAGGTCCTGAGTTTGACCCCCAGCACCAAAAAAAAAAAAAATTTCACACATATTTGCTGAGCATGATGGTACACAACTATAATCTCAGCTCCTGGGAAGCTGAGGCAAGAGGATCACTTGGGTTCAAGGCCAGCTTCAACTACATACAGAGACCCTGGGTCAAAAAAGCAAAACCTAGCCAGACATGTAGGCATACACCTGTAATCCCAGTACACGGGAGGCTGATGCAGGAGAATCGCCATGAGTTCAAGGTGGCACTGGGCTACATAGTGAGTTCAAGGCCAGTGGAATTACAGAGCAAGACTCTTGTTTCAAAAAATAAACAAACAAAAACCCAAAAACTAAATACAGTCAAATTCACACATATTTCTAGTTAAAATTAACATGAGTCTATTTCTTCCTATTGTGAATAAACAAATGTTTTTATAAACATATGTGTTAACTTGTCCTTGAGGACAGTAAGGCAATCCGTTAACATGTTTCCTTTTCCAGTTACTTCACTTAAAAACTTGATAGTTGTTAAATTTCTCATACATGTTGGTGACTTAATTATCTTAATAAAGATAGTTTTAAGTTCGATCCCTGGCACCACAAAAAAAAAAGTTTTATAATCTTTTCCAGAAGGTAAGTCTCATATCTAAATATTGTCTTAAGCAGAACTTTGAGGCAATGCTTACATACAATACTGACAAGCACACATGCTGCTTTAATTTGTGAATTGTATTGTGACTCCCTGCCCTGTAACTTACAAATGGAAAGCTCAAGAAATAGGCACTAAAAGAGAAAAGAGAAAGAAGAACAAATGAAGGATGTTTTTTGAAGAGGCAGGAATATGAGCCTCCTCACTGTTCAGGAGGCTCTGCAAAATGGAGCAACAATTCTGAAACAGAAGAGGAGCAGTTTTGTCATAAAAATACCTCAGTGCTGAGGTGGTTTAAAGGGCTAGGAAGTTGTGCTGTGTAGTTCTGAGGTTACCAGCTGCAGTGAACATCTGTAATACTTATTGCCTGGTATTCTGTGTGACATATTCTTTCTCTCTCTGTCTCTCACCTCTTTTTGCTATTAATATATAGCTAGATTTGAGATTCTTCACCTCCATACACTTTCAGTGGGATCCATGTATGCATTATTGATATTAACTTTATCTTTGGCACATTAGATGTTTGATGACATAGTAATCGTGTGATCACTTTTAACAAATCTAGTGTCAAAATATAAAAATTAAGCTTATAAGCTGTCCTTAAAAATAAAAGTAGTTTAAGCACATACTTTCAGTTAATCTATTTAATTTTTTTATAAAAAGTTGAAGATTAGTAAGCTAGGAACTACAGACACAAACTTTATTTCTTTAAGACCACACAACCCTGCTTGACCTTAACTGAAAGTATTAATGAGAAGGGCAGTTTTGCGGGGGGGGGGGGGGGCGCCGGTACCGGGGATTGAACTCAGGACCTTGCGCTTTGGAGACAGGCACGGCGTCACTGAGTTAAATCCCTGGCCCAAGAAGGGCAATTTTGAGACTAGTGTAAATACAATAAAAAGCAAAAAGGCCTTTAAAATACAGTTTTTAAAGATTAGACCAAGAAATCGAAATTTATCCTTCCCAGGCCGGGAACTTAGCTCAGTGGTTTCAATGCCTACCTCGCAAACGCAACGTTCTTGAGTTCCATCCCCGGTACCAAAACAAAAAACAAAGCAAAACAAAAAAAACCCAGAAATCTATCCTTACCATTTCTGCCATCAAACTTATTAAAAGTAGAACTATTTATTAAGTGAACGATGCACATAACCCAAAACATAATCTACTAATGTATTTTTTTGCTTTTTATTTATGTTTGTCATACTGGGATTGAACCCAAATCTTTGCACTGAGCTACATCCCCAGTGCTTTTTATTTTGTGATGGGATTCTAAGTCATTAAACTGCCCAGGCTGCGCTCCAACTTGCGATCCTCCTGCCTCAGCCTTCCACAGCGCCCCACCATGCTAGCCCAATAGTGTGCATTTTTTCAAAAACCACGTTGGACTTCTTCCAGCAACATGTCTCTCAGTATTAGAAACTTCCTGCCGCGCCTGCCTGCCAAATGCAAGGTCCTGAGTTCCATCCCTGGTACCAAAAAAGAAAGAAAAACAATGTCCTACTCTTAACAAAGAGATCATCCTTTCAGCTGACGCCAGGGAAGCCTTGCAGACACTGCAAGGTCAACTCGCGGTGGGACTCAAGCGTGAGGAAAACGGGACCTCAAAGTAGGCGCAGCCCACGCCCGCCGCCGGCCGCACCGCTCCGTCTCCGTCCGCGGGGCCGGGAGAGCTCGGGGACAGCCGCCGAGACACGCCGGTCCCCTCGTAGCACGGCCGCCCGAGGACGCCACCGCGCGTGTGACAGTGAGCCCACACCGGCGCGGCGCCCTGCGTGTACCTCCAGCGGACTCCAGGGAATCCGGCAGACGGCCGGGACGGATGAAGCAGCCGCAGACAGGTCCAGGATGCGCCAAGGGCACGCGCAGCTCTCCCGGGCCACTCCAGGCGGCCGCAGGGAGCGCACGGAGCACCGGAACGGCGCCCAGCCCGCGGCCCACACCGTCCAGGCGGCGCGGGGCTGACGTTAAGCACGCGGCCGTCCAGACGCACACGCACTCACGCACACAGCTCCTGTCGCGCCCGTCTTTCCCGGCCCAAGACGCACGCATACTCGCCTCGCCGGCCTGGCACAAACACTAGCGGACCCCGCCCACTGAGTGTCACCCGGGACACAAAACTGAGCGCCTCGCGGGGCATCTTGGGAAATGTAGTCCTGACCGCGCCTTCTTCCTCCCTCCGTACAGGTAATCGTGTTCGGGCGCAGGTGGGTCACTGGTAAGGCCGCGTTCGCCCTGCCTGGAGGGGTCCCCGCGGGCGGTGAGCGACTCGCCCGGACGAGCAATAGCCGCTGCGGGGAACAGAAGGAGGGTTTGCCCGGGGCTCGGAAGTCGGGAGGAGCTTCTTGTCTCGAGGCTTCCGCGACTCCGCCTCGGCCGGGCGGATTGCGGTGCTTCAACACCATGGATATCGTTTCCTTCATTCTGTGCTGTTATCAGCTGCCAATCCTGCCTTTGGATTCTACTGAGACCAGTGCTGCGGGTGGAAAAAGAATTCAACCAAAGTCAAGGTGTAAATGAGCCGAAAACCAAGACCAGACCAGTACCGCAACAAGCCTTTATTGGAGGGACAATCTGCCGAGCTGCCTCTGAGCAAAGGAGTGCAGCACCGTGGCAGGGACTGGAGCACCTTTATAGAGTCTGGGTGGGGCTTGGAAGATGTCGTGACGGTGAGGGGTTGGAGGGTTTGTAAGGTGCATCACCAAGGGATTGGAGGAGCCTGTGACATCACTGGTTGCCAGGAAGGGAGCAAGGATCTTTTGGCGGGAAGAAGGGCATGATGGTAAGGCAAAGGCAGCCATTGTATGTAGCGGCCATTTTAAGGTGAGGAAAAGTTACCGTTCCAGGCTTTTTTATGGTTGTTGGGCGAACGTCTCTTCTTCTCGAGCTACTTTAAGCTGACAAAGGGGTGAAGATTTGGGCTAGACCTGGATTGACGGCAGGTGGAAATGTCCTCTCGTTGCACTGGTTGCCATAACAAGTTCCGTGACTGGTTGGTAAATGCCCTCGTGTGTTCCTGTAAGAAATCTTGAAAACAGCGAAACAGACAGGATCCGAGGAGCAGGGTAAGGCAGATGATGACTAGTGGCCCCATCAGAGGAAGGAGCCAGGGCAGCCAATTATTTAGGGAAAAGAGGTTTCTGTTTGCCCCATTTTTTATGCGTTGATCAATGCTTGAGGCCCTTTCAGTGAGTTTTTTTGCTGCATCTCGTACTATACCTGATTGATTTGTATAAAAACAACACTCTTCTCGTAGGAAGAGACATATACCGCCTTTCTCTGCTGTGAGGAGATATAGCCCCCTCCTATTTTGGAGAGTGACAGCCACTAAGGAATCTATTTGGCTTTGTAAAGTTATGATTGATTTAGCTATTTCTTTTAGGTTATCACTTAACTCTTTCGAAAGAGTTTGAAATTGAGTTAGTGAGGTAGCTAGGCCCCCTACTCCTGTCCCTATACCAGCAGTGATGCCTAGTCCTACATGTAAGGATATTAGCTGGATAGCTTGTCTATGTCTGACCTGTGCTTTAATTGGCACTGATAGGGTTTGATTGTTTGGGAGTATATCACTGTTAGAGCTGAGGTAAACTAGTGTGCAAGTTCCAGTCCAGTTAGTTGGTAGGCAGGCACAGGTAGGCCCAAGTTCCACAAGTTCCACACCTTGACTGAGTAAACAGAATTGATTGTGTATGTTGAAAAGATGTGTGAGTTTGTTGTTTTTATTTTCCCATACTCCTAGTGTTCCCGCCAACACAGCGCCTGTTAGGGGTTGAAAAGGTCTTTGGGTTGAGATTTGGGTGGCCCCACTGGTCTTATTTCCCCACTGGAGGAAGAATCTCTTGGTATCCACCAGAAGCCATTCCGAAGAATGGTTAAATGTTGGAATAAGAAGGCACTGAAGTGGGATGGAGGGGGGTGGCTGTGTTGAAAGGGATCCAGGGAAATATACCCTTGCAAGGCTTGTGGTGACCATTGCAAAACCCCGAATTTATATTGAGAAGACCCTGTGTTGTAAGTGTAGGAGCATCCGTGTAGTGGACAGGCTGAAGAAAGGGAGCATCTAGGGAGACTTTGTAGTTAACATGACTTGATGAGGCCTGTAACTGTAACGTGTAATTGCACTTTTGAGAGGGGAGGTGTCTCACAATGGGGCCCATGGACAGGTTGCACTGAAAGCAAAGTGGGGCTCGGAATCTCAAGATAATGTTATCAGCTATAGGTCCAAGTATAGGTTTTTCCCTACACTCGTATAAAGAGAGACCCCCATGTGGACCACCAATAGCCATATAAGATTGAAGGAGCCGGCCTGCATGACCTGTTTGTGTTTTTTGTCATGTCAGTGATGTGAAAGTTGGTGATGGACTGTTTGTTAAGTAGCTGTAATGGACCTCCCATCTTATATTGAGGATGGTAAGTGAAATGGACTATTGGTAGTAGTCCAGACCTTTGGAGGTACTGGGGTGGCTGTGTAGGAAGCAGTGAATAGGGATATACAGAGCCAACAGTCACTGGCTAGTGATGGATTGAGTCTATTTAGTAGGGAGTGGGTTAGCTGTAGCATGTTGTCTAGATAGTGTAGAAGGAAAGAGTGAGTTAATTGGAGTATGTTGTATATGTGTGTGGGGTTAACAGGTAGGAGTGGGATCATGGAAACTGAATGTAGAGGGAGGAGGATGAAAATGAGGGGATTTGGGAGAATTGTGGTGTGAAACCCATAGCACATGACAGGACAATGATGAGTCCTGCCAAAGGGAAGAAGAGAAGGGTGAAGAAACATTTTGTGTATTTGTGAGGACAAATAAGAATACCGAGAAGAATCATAATTAGGTAATAGGTTGCTGCAAGAACATACTTTTGTGAGAAGGACCAGTCAGTTGGGCTCATGGCAAAGAGTCCAATTCCAAGAAGGGTACCAAGGGACACAAGAAGCAGAAGGGAGAGGATGTCAATGGGAAGGCCCATAGCCAGGGTGTTGCAATACCCCATGAATGTTGTCTAGAATAAGGGGATATCTATGAATTGAGGGACAGGCATTGTCAGGCAACTAGAAGAAAGAGGTAGAGGGGAACTTCCTCAGGGGTGAAATCAGGGGGCCCTGATAGTAGCTGTCAATCATCCATTCATGTATAGTTTTAATTACCACTTCACATTTCTCCTCATTATCAGTGATCCAGAGCCAGATAAGGCCCTCCTGAAGTGCCTGGGTAAAAAAGTAGAATCATGCTGAGGCCGCTTAGGGGCATCAGTCAGATGGTGGCTCTTCAGGGATTTGGGAGAGTTTGAGTCTTAGAGGGCCTGTTAAGAGAGAAGAGTAGAGGAGTTTCGGGTTGCTCTTTTGGCTGATCTGCCTGGAGAGCCAGAGGGGCTCTTTTTATTCTGGAGAGGTGGAACCAGAGCACCTTTCCTTGAAGTTTGACTGCTGTGGGGGTGGTTAAGGAGACAGTGAAAGGTCCTTCCCAGCGTGGCTGGAGGGGTTTTTGGGAAAGAGCCTTGAGATATACCCGGTCACATGGGGAAAGAGGAGGATGTAGGATGTCTGATGAGTCTGGAGAAGGAAGAGTTGGATCTGCTAGAGTCTGAAGGAGAGGACGAGCATAGTTAAGTGTTGGAAAATAATCAATGAGAGGTGGTGAGGGATCAGGTAAGTTAAGAAATAGGAGAGATCACCCATACATTAACTGAAAGGGGGTTAAATTTAATGGTTTTCAAGGAATTGAGCAAAACCACTTGAGAGCCAAAGGGAGGAGGGTTACCCAGCTTTGTTTTAATTCCATGGAAAGTTTGGTTAACTGAGTTTTAATTAGCCCATTAGCCCAATCAACCTTGCCTGATGACTGGGGACGATAGGGGATATGGAGTTTCCACTGTATGTTGAGTGCCTCTATTACCTGTTAGGTGATCTGGGAGACAAAGGTAGGTCCATTATCAGACTGGATGGAGCATAGGAGGCCAGATCAAGGAGTAATCTCTGTTAGGAGTACATGGACTACACTGGCTGCTCCCTCCGATGTACATGGAAATGCCTCTCTCCACCTCGTGAAGGTGTCTACCAGGGTCAGAAGATATTTGGCTCTTTGGATGGGGGACATGTGAGTAAAATCAATTTGCCAATCTTCCCCCAGTAGCTGTCCCCAGGACTGGTGAGTTTCTGTACGTGTTTGGAGACTTCCTTGGGGGCTGGTGGTGGAGTAAACAGTACAGGCCTGGGGTATAGCTTGTGTGTGTAGTTAGAGATGGATAATATAGGAAAGGCCTAAGAAGGTGTAGGAGGGGTTGGGTCCCTATATGGAGAGAGTTGTGGAGATTAGTGAGGAGAGGTATTATCTGATCATCTGGAATGACGTGGCGCCCCCTATAGAGGAGCCAGTTATCTTTAAGTGTGCACCCTTTTCTATGTAAGTGGCCTTTTCTTGGGGGGGTGTATCTGGGCTCCAGGGGTGGAATAATTAACATTTGATTTTGAGGAATGGAGGACTGTGCCATTTTTTCAGGCAGTTTGATCGGCTTTGTTATTTCCCTGGGCTATGGGAGAAGATGGGGATTGATGTCCCTTGCAATGAATGATGCCTGTTTATGTTGGGAGAGCTGCTGCCTGGAGGAGAGCGTGTATCAGGTGCCTGTTGACAATGACCTTCCTGGTCATAAAGCCTCTCTCTTTCCGGGTAGAGTTGTGAGAATGTAGGGTATGGTAGGCATATTTGGAGTCAGTGTAGATGTTGCCTCACTTGTTTTGTGCCAGAGTAAGGGCTCAGGTGAGGGCAATCAGTTCAACCTGTTGGGAAGTGGCATTTAGTGGCAGTGCATTGGCCTCAGTGGTCTGCGTGAGAGAGACTATGGCGTATCCTGCCCCCTTTTTGCCTGGTACATGGCCGGGAATTGAGCTGCCATCAGTGAACCACATGAACTCCAGGTTAGGGATGGCCTTTGAGGAGATATTGGGGAGAGAAGGGAGTAGATTTTCAATACCCTCCATACAAGAGTGGGTGGGCACCTAAGTGGCCTCAGGGAGCAGTGATGCTGGGTTAAAAGGAGGGCAGGATTGGAGGGAAAAGGTCGGGTTTTCTATAAAAGCAGCATGGAAAAGTTGTAGCCGAAGGGGTGACAGATGTGAGAGGCTATGATGTGTGAGTAGGTCCTGTAAGCAATGGGGTGACTTTACTGCCATTGGTTGGCCAAAAGTTAGTTTAGAGCTCTCTTGGGCTAGGAGAGAAGTGATTGCCAAGGCACATAAGCATGCAGGCCAACCCCTGACAGTGAGGTCTAGTTGTTTGGATACATAGACAACAAGGGCAAAATGCAATTCAGTGTTTTGTCCCAAGAGCCCCAGTACCAGACCTGCTCACTTGGTGACATAGACAGTAAATGGTTTTAAAAGGTTGGAAAGAGCTAACACTGGGGCACAGAGAATAGCAGCCTGAAGTTTATGAGATGGTTTTTTGCTGGATACTCTGTCTACAGGCTCAAATGGATCCCCCGTGGAAGCATCATAAAGGGGTTTTGCAAACAGACTGAAATTGGCTATCCATAGGCAAAGGAAGCCTGTGAGTCCCAGAAAAGACAGAATCTTGGCTTTAGAAGAAGGAACTGGGAGGTCTTGAATAAGCTGTTTGTGGTCTAGTGTGATCTCTAGCTATTCGTATAAGATCTTAACCCCAAGATATTGGACTGTGGATGGGGGCCTTGTCCTTTGAGACTCAGTATCCTTGTTGGCACAAAAAGTTGAGGAGTGAGGCCATGTGTTGTTGGGAGAGCTCAAGGGAGGAGCTGCATAAGAGTAAGTCATCCACATATTGGAGCAATTTAGAGGAAGATAGATCTAGCATCAGAAGATCAGCAGCTAGGGCTGTCCAAAAAGGTGTGGGCTGTCCCAAAACCCCTGTGGGAGGTGTGGGACTGTCCAGGTGAGTTGTCAGGAATGACCAGAATCAGGGTCTGTCCAAGTAAAGGCAAAAAGGTCTTGGGATGCTGGATGTAAAGGAATTGTAAAGAAGGCATCCTTAAGGTCTAAGACCGTAAAGTAACAAGAGGAAGATGGAATGTGGGACAAGAGAGTGTAGGGGTTAGGAACTACAGGGTGTATGGGGAGCATGGCAGCATTGATGGCCCTTAGGTCTTGGACCAATCGGTAGGAACCATTGGGCTTTAAGACCGGCAAAATGAGAGTATTGTATGGAGAATGAGCAGGTCACAGGAGTCCCTTTTTTAGGAGGTCTGTGACAGTGGGTTTGAGCCCCCATAAGTTTTAGAGCTATGGGATATTGAGGAATGCTGGGGAAGTGAGAGGAATCTTTGGGGGAGATTTGAATACAAGAGTGGTGGCTGGCAGTGGAGGGGGTAGAGGCATCCCACACAGAGGGATTGACATATATAGAAGAGGATATATCAGAAGAGCTGGAGGATAGATCTGTCGAGAGGGCTGCCTGGAGCAGCAGAATGTTGGTAGGGTTTAAATTTGTGAGATGGAGAATGAGAGAGGCCCTAAATTTGGGAAGGATATCCCTGCCTGGGATGGGGGTGGGGCAGCTAGGGATAATCAGAAAACTGTGTGAGAACATGCTGCCTAACAGGGAACAGGGTAGGAGTGGGGTGATTAGGGGGTTTGAAGGCACCCTTTGAACCCCCAAAATAGTTACTGTGGAGAAATGACCTGAATATTGTGGTAAGGTCAAGTATGTAGCCCCTGTGTCAGGCAAAAATGAGATAGGCTTACCTGAGACACAGTCACCCTGGGCTCGCTGGGAGTGATGGCCATGGGGGCTGCAGGTGACCCTGGGCACCATCAATCCTCTGTCACCAGGCTGATGAGCTCTGACAGAGATGTCTCCGTACCTGCTGTCTGGGCTTAAGGAGGGGATGGCCTCTTACCTTTTTGGCGAAGGGGACAGTCAGCCCTCTAGTGGCCCGTCTGCTTGCAGTCAGGACAGGGGCCAGGCGGTGTTTTGGGATTGGGGCATTCATTGACCCAGTGCCCAGTTTGATTACACTTAAAGTAAGCCCCAGGGAGCCTGTCATGAGTGAATGTCTTCTTGTAGGACGGCAGTTTGCCCTGTAGGGCTACTGCTAGCATCTGGTAATTAGCCATTTTTTGTTGTTTTGCCTGTTCCTCATGGTTATTGAACACCTTAAAGGTGACATTGAGGAGCTCAGTTTGTGTGGCCTGGAGGCCCTCCCCGACCCTTTTAAGTTTTTTTCTAATGGCGGGGGGGGCCTATGAAATGAAATGAGTGTTAATAACAATCATTAATATCAATCTTGGTATATTTTTGAAGAGCATCGGCCAATCAGGAAAGAAACTACGCTGGGTTTTCTTGGGGGTCCTTGAGTTACCTCTCTGATCTTGTCAAAATCGACTGTCTTTTGGAAAATCCTCTGTAAGCCTTCCATGAGACAGACAATCATATAATCTCAAAGATCCCTGCCTGGGTCTTCGTCCTGATAAGTCCAATCAGGTTGGGTGTCTGGTACTGCCTGTGTGCCTCCTAGCTTGGTTGGGTCTGGCATGGAAATCATCTGCCACTGCCCTCCAGACCTTCTGGCACTCTGGGGAGAGAGAAGTGGAGAGAATCATATAGATATCTCACCAGGTCATATCATAGGACTGAGTAAGGTAGGGGAATTCTTTAATATAGAAACTGCAATCTAAGAAAAGGAGCCTAAGCATTTTTCAATCTGAGAAAGATCAGAGAAGGAGACAGGGACATGTACTCTAATAATGCCCTCAGTCCCAGCGAACTCTCAGAGAGGCATTTGTGTAGCTGGGGCCTATATAGGAAGGGTGTAAGGTGGGGAGTATATGGGGGTGAAGGAGAAGATGGCAGAGGGTGAGGATGAGAAAATGACAGAGGGGAGGGAGATCATGCAGAGGCAGAAGATGAGCTAGTCTAGTTTTAACGTTGGGGAGGAGGGACTAAAGGAGAGTGATCGGTGGGATTGAACGTGTCATACTTGGGCTAGAAGTATCTGAGAGGGTGAGCAGGTTTGACAGAGAGAGGGGTGAAAGCATAGGTCTAAGAAGGCTTGTAGGTAGGGGATTTCTGACCATTTGCCGTTGTGTTGACAGAAATTGCACAAATCATGCAGTATATTAAAATCGAAAGTGCCATTTGGGGGCCATTGAGACCCATTGTCTAATTAGTACTGTGGCCAGATCTGATTACAATAGATGAGTCTTTTTGGTTTGAAGTCTGGTCCCAACAATCCAAGGGGCTGGAGTTGTGCCAGGAGGCAGCCTAGAGGCGTTGAGAGGGGTGTTTGGATTGCTGGGCTCCCATGTTAGGGCGAGTGAGAAGTAGGCAGCTCCCTAGGAGAAGGGCAAAAGGGAGGAGCATCCTCGTCCCCTTTGACAATCTCCGAGTGAGTCTCTGAAGGGAGAGAATGAGAGGAGCTGGGCCAATGGGGTGTCTCCCAGGAGCATGGTCCTGGGTCTCTCTGACCAAGTGCTTGGATTTCTGAGAAGCCCCCAGAGGGAGAGAATGAGAATGAGACAGAGGATCCGTGAGAGGGAGGCTGAACTGCCTACTCACCCAGAGATCGGTGACTGGTGTGGATGTATGGCATCGGCAATGGCAAAGGCAGAGACCCCCGAGAAGGTCCTGGCTCGGCAGATGTCGTCTAGAGGAGACAGCCAAAAGGCTAATTGACCCCAACCCATGGGGGATCATCACTTAATCTACTGCTTACCTCCTGGGTTTCAGCACCAGATAAGGCAGGTAAAAGAGCTGAAAACCAAGACCAGACCAGTACTGCAACGAACCTTTATTGGAGGGACAATCTGCCGAGCTGCCTCTGAACAAAGGAGTGCAGCAGTGTGGCAGGGACTGGAGCACCTTTATAGAGTCTGGGTGGGGATTGGGAGATGTGACGGTGAGGGATTGGAGGGTTTGTAAGGCACGTCACCAAGGGAGTGTAGGAGCCTGTGACATCACTGGTTGCCAGGAAACAAGCAAGTATCTTTTGGGGGCAAGAGGGTCATGCTGGGAAGAAGAAGGCTGTCTTTTTGCAGGAGAAGCCATTTTGGGGCTAGGTTTAGGTGGGGAAACACTGCATCATGGAAAGAAGGCCAGTTTGGGTGGGAAGGAAGCCATCTTGGAACTGGGTTTTGGCGGGAAGAAGGGCATGATGGGAAGAAGAAGGCAGCCATTATATGTCGTAGCCATTTTAAGGTGAAGGAAATTATCACAAGGCACATGGGGAAGCAAAGATCCTTGCTGCTCTGAAGGAAGGCTGCGTTCGGGGGAGGGGGCCGAGGGTTATGCTTAGGGTCAGCATGGGAGGGCCTGGGAGTGTAGAACTCAATGCTAAGGGTGCCATATGCTGTTGGTAGACTGACATTGATTTCTTGTTCCACAGGCCGAGTGCCCTTGGTGCTGCCAGAAACCAGCCTTCTGGGCAAAATGAATGAACAAATATGTAAGATTAATCTTAGTGGTCAAGGGGATCAGAATAAAATGTTTCTTCTTGTAAGGGACTTCTGACGTGGTGTTCTTTAGGATGTGTCAAGCAGTTAGGTGATGCATTTCTGTGGGAAGTTCACAAGGTGGACAGGTAATGTTCAACCACAGGCTCACCGCCCAGCTGCAGTGTGGTTTCAAAGAAACTAGGGGGAAATAATTGTGACTTCGCATGGTATTTTCACCTATGTTGAGAATTAAGATCACATTTTCATCTTGCTTTGTACATTCCACCCCAGTTACAAGAACAAGATTTTTTTTTATTTAAATTTTGCTTCTTTTATTATTCCAGCAAACATTACACTAGAGAAAATGACTGGGAAAATACAAATAGATTCATTAAAAACATATTCATTCTGTTACATTCAGAAGTATGCAGGGGCTGGGGATTTAGCTCAGTGGTTTTGCTGCCTGCTGCGCAAGTGCAAGGACCCGAGTTTGATCGCTGGTACCAAAAAAAAACAAAAACAAACAAACAAAAAAATCAACTCAGAAGTATTCAAAACAATTTAGTTATTGCAAAGCTGTGATTCCCTTTCTAGCAAAGCATTTTATAAAACTGTAGTGTTGCCATTGATTCCATTTTAATACAAAATACTTATAAATACAGTACAATATAAAAGTAAACTGTATAGTGCCTTCCACAAAAGGATATATTAAGGTGCTTTACAAATATACCAATTTAACCCAAATTACATTTTGCTTTAGATTAAAAGAAACACACTAAATGTTTCACTTTAAATACCAAAGGGATTTTTGTTTATTAAAGAAAAATTTCTGAAGTACCTTAGGTAACAGCAGCAGCAACATCTAAAATCCTCTCACTGTATTCTCTAATTTACAACATATTATTAAATCAGAATAAAACATTTCCACTCACAGTTTTGCACTTTGCAACAGCAGAAGCTAATAACTTTTTTAAAAAGTCAATCTCAAAGTGACTTTTTAGTCATACATTCTACAGTTTCTATTACAAGTAAGGTAGAAAACATATAACAATAGGGCCTGCCTTAGGACACCACTACAAGAACAAGATTCTATAACTTTCAGGACTAATTTGGTGCCAGGCATGGTGATGCACACTTGTAATCCCAGCACTCTGACAGGCTGAGGAAAGAAGATTGCAATTTTGAACCCAGCCTGGGCAATTTAGTGAGACCTCATCTCAAAATAAAAAGTGAGGATATAGCTCAGTCCAAAGGCCCTGGGTTCAGCCCTTCAGTCTGCCATCAATAACAATTTAGATAGCATAGTGTTTTTTCTTTATTTGGGAAAACAGTTTTTCCCTTGAAAGTTTATACTGTTAGGAGGCAGAATCTTTGGTCTCAAAATCTACACAGTTAACCTGCAACACAGCCTTTTTAAAGGTGGTTAGTTAAATTAGGCTTTGTAGTTCTTAACTGAGACAATTTTGGATACCTTTTTTTTTTTTTTTTTGTACCAGGGATCAAACTTGGTTCCTTACGCTTGCAAGGCATGCAGTTGCAAGGCAGGCAGTGGAACCACTGAGGTAAATCCCCGGCCCATACAGATATTATTTGTAAATGTTTCAGAATTTATCTCTTGAATGATTAGGACTCCTTTAAAAATCTTAACCAGAATATTATCCTAACTACAAGATTAACAATTTCTTCATCTCAGATTTATAGACAGTGTTGAAATTTTTGTTTTCCTATGAATTTTATTGATTCATGTTCCAAGTAAAGTTCATACAATTCCAAGGCTCTTATTCTAAAGTTTCTCTTAGAGAAATTATCTCAATAGTGTCTCAATTTAGTTTTCTATTACTTTAAGCACCTTTGAAGATGTTGTTGCTTTGAATTTTTCTGTTACATTATAGATACTCCTCATTTAATGACCTGTTTAATGACTATTCAGATATAACAATGAAGGTGTGCTGTTTGGACTTAGAACCTGTGTGAGAAAAACCAAGAAGGAAAGACTAGTTGCTGGATTATTGACAACATGGTTACAAGAACCAGTGACCATCACGGATATAACTGGAATTCACTCAGGAGGAGTAGATGATGCTGGACTCTGCTCAGAGAAGTCTGTACAAAGATATAATGTTGGAAAACTATAGAAACCTCACAGCAATAGAGTATCAATTATCCAAGCTTTCCGTGAATTCCATCTTGGATCAAGAAGAGATAAACACTATGAAAAGAATTCCCCAAACTCTCTGTCCAAACTGGAAGATTGAATTTAAAACCAGAGAATCAATTCCTACACATAACATCTTTGGGGAAAAACCATCCCATGGATTGAAAATACAATTCATAATGAATGATTGGTCCTCCACATTACGAGAAGACTGGGAATGCCATACAATCAGAATACAGCACAAGATCCCAGAGAGACATTTCAGGCAAGTGACACATACCCAAAAGAAAACAGCATCTCAGAAGAATTTCTGTGGCTATCATGAATTACAGGAAAACTCTAAACTTAGATCAAAACTTACGTTTTCACAGAGGGTTTCCACCAGTAAACACTGCCATAAAACACATAAAATGTAACTCAGATATTCGTTTAAAACATAATTCAGTGCTAAACAGTTATGATGATAACTATGAATGAAAAGGTCTGTAAAAGTCATGAATATGATCATTCTTTATGGCATCTTGCAAGAATGCCAGCAACACAAAAAGAGTACACATGCTCTCAATATGGTATGCACTTCCAATATGATAGTATGCTTCCTTTACATAATAATCTTCACTTGGCAAGACATTCCTGTGAATGTATTAAAAACAAGAAACCTTTTTGTCATCATTCATGTCTTAAGCAACAAGAGCAAATTCATACTGAAGACAAACAGCATGAATGTAATCAATGTGGAAAAGCCTTCAAAAGGATTTCTAATTTTATTTTGCACAAGAAAAGTCACATGGGTGAGAAACTGTGATTGTAAAGAATGTGGGAAAGTATTTAATGATTCCTCAACCTTAAGACATGAAAGAACTCACACTGGAGAGAAACCCTATGAATGCAATCGATGTGGAAAAGCTTTGATTCAAAAAACAACTCTTAAGGCTCATGAGAGAACTCACACTGGAGAAAAACCTTATGAGTGCAATCAGTGTGGAAAATCCTTTGGCACGAGCTCTTACCTTATAGTGCACAAACCCATACACTCTGGAGAGATGCTCTGTGACTGCAGTGACTGTGGAAAAGCCTTCAACACAAGCTCCCACCTTAAGGCTCAAAAGAAAATACACACTGGAGAGAATCTTTTGGACTGCAGTGACTGTGGGAGAGCTTTTAGTGGTCTCTCCTCCCTTAGAATGCACATCAGAACTCATACTGGAGAGAAGCCCTATGAACGTACAGAATGTAGGAAACCCTTCTGTGTTTCCTCTTCCCTTAGGAGACGTGAGAATTCACACTGGAGATAAACCCTAGGAATGTATTCAATATGGAAAAGCTTTTATTCAGGGCTGGGGATTTAGCTCAGTGATTCTGCTGCCTGCCTCGAAAGCACAAGGACCCAAGTTTGATCCCCAGCACCAAAAAAAAAAAGAAAAGCTTTTATTCAGAACTCTCCACTTACTATACACAAAAGAATTCATAAGGGGAGAGAAACCTAAGTATTATAAATGTGGAATTGTCTTTTTTATTCTCTTATAGATAATTCCAAGCTTATTATTTTTTATTCTTAGACTAGCATTTAAGGCTATTAATGGCCTTAAAAAACATTCATGTAGCTATATAAGACATTTTGTTCTATGATAATTTATATTCAGCTTTGAATATTGTCTAATTGGTTTTGTTTTGTTGGTTTTTTTGTTTTGTTTTGTGTGTGTGTGTGTGTGTGTGTGTGTGTGTGTGTGCACGCGCGCTGGGGATCAAACTCGACCTTGGACTTGCAAGGCAGGTGTGGCACCACTGAGCTAAATTCCCAGCCCTGTTCTCTTTTTTTTTTTTTTTTTGCAGTGCCAGGGATTGAACTCAGGAGCTTGCGCCTGCGAGGCAGGCATGGTGCCACTGAGCTAAATCCCCAACCCTGTTCTCATTTTTTGATCCCGGCTATTTAGAATTATTATTATTATTATTATTATTATTATTATTATTATTATTTGGTACCAGGGATTGAACTCAGGTCCTTGCACTTGTGAGGCAGGTGGTGGAACCACTGAGCTAAATCCCTGGCCCTAGAATTACATTTTTAATCTGTTGTATGAAGATTTTCAGTTGCCTTTTTATTAAGAATTTTAAATCTGTTCATTGTTTTCATGGTACCTAGTATTTTCTTAAGAGTTTTGTTCTGTCCCAGGGAAGCAGATACTGTTACTAACCTAACACTCAGCCTTCCTTACTAGTAAGTCTAGTTTTAGTTAAGAATACTAATTTGCATAGTTCTAAAACCTTTCTCAGCCTTGTAGGCAAAGGTAGCCATATCCCTCATTCTTGACCAGTCAAAAATAGACTGATATCACTGGGAACTGAATTGTTTTATTCTTTTTGACTTTCACACTGTCTTTCTCCCTCTCCATTGTTCTCTTCCCTGGAATTTTCCCGTCTTGGAGCTGAAAGATCTATCTTGTGACCATAAGAATGATAATTATTGCCTAAGGATGGTATAAAAAAAGATCCTGGATCCCAAAGACACCTTTATATAGCTGTGCTAGCCTGCTGCTTATTTCAGGACATCTTTTTATGTGCAAAAAATAAGCTTATTGACACTTTTTTTTTTTTGGTACCAGGGATTGAACTTGGGATCTTGTGCTTGCGAGGCAGGTGGCAGAACCACTGAGCTAAATCCTCGACCCACTTATTGACTTTTAAAGCAGCAGTGTATGAGTACAATCAATACAGTGACCTTTAAAAAAAAACGGGTATATAAACTTAAATATGTTACTTTAAAAGTTTGCATTTGAAAAGGAATCTAGAAAAGGGAGAATAGTGTTTACAACCTTTTTGTACTTCTGCAGTAGGTGAAGAAAGACAGCTGACATCACTGGAAGCAGTACTTCAGAGAAGCAAGAAAGGAATCTCAACATTTCAGCATCAGAAATCCAGAAAGTTTCAGATAGAGGGGAAATTACTAATTTTAAATACTAAGTGGAACTTGCAATTCCACTTCCTGGTCTTTCAGATACTGACCAGAGTAGCTCTAATGTATTAAGAAACAAAATATGGGGCCGGGGATTTAGCTCAGTGGTTCCACCGCCTGCCTCGCAAGCACAAGGACCCGAGTTTGATCCCTGGTTCCAAAAAAAAAAGAAAATACGGAAAAAATGTCCATATGAAAGATAAGGATAGTAGTGCCACGTTTAGTCATATTAACTTTATACTATAGGGAGACATCAGATAAATAGGCTAATAATACAGTTCTAGACTTGAAGTGTCTAGAATAAAGATACATTTTATTGATGCATTTTATAGACTGTAATAGGCTTTGTGAAGGTGACTAAGATTGCCTAGGGGAAATGGAATGCAGAGAATGTCTGCCATTGACCATGAAGAACTGTATTTGCAAGTAGAGAAAAGGAATGAACCACTGTAGATAATGGAGAAACCAGAGACGCTGGAGTTTCACCAAACCAAGATAAACCAGTCTAAAAGGAATATGATATAAATTGTTTTCAGTGTTACTTAGGGGTCCAATTGGATGAAGTCTTAAAAAGTGAACCTATATAGCCATGTGAAGATCATTAAAAGGCAGTAGGGGAGAATGAAGAGACATTTGAATATTGACTGAAAACAACTTTGCATTCCTTTTTAAAACACTAGTTTCTCTTGGTGAAACTCATGCTTTTAAGAAAGGAACTGCAACATTCTGGAAGGCTGGGACAGGATCACAAGTTGGGGTCCAGCTTGAGAAAGAACAACTTAGTGAGACCTTGTCTCAGAAAGATCTGGGGAATATATTTCAGTGTGAGGCCCCTGGATTCAGTCCCCAGTACCACACACACACAAAGAGGTGAGCTAAGCTGGGCACGGTGGCACATGCTTGTGTAGAGGCAGCAGGATTGTCCAACCTGGAGAAAAAGAATCTGAGGAGGTAGAACAGGTTTAGGTCTGAATGTGATGGACGTCAGTTTGAAGGATAGTTAATAGGCTCTAAGAAGATGTAATTTTGGAGCACAGACAGGATTGGCTTTGGTATTAGGAGTCCTTCCACCATTCTCAGGAGAAAGGAGGCATCGGTGGGATGGGTTGGGTTTGGTTACCTGTTTACTCATAGCTAAGTGAATTGAGTCGTTCAAGTATCTCAACTGTATAATGCTGTTCAGTGTTTGAGATAATTTCTGGCCCATTGTGCTAGTGCTAGTCAGTAACCTAATTTATATTATAAATATATTTCTTCCTTTTTTATATGACCCCAGTTTTGCAAACAGTACCGTTGTGTCCATTTACAAAACTTCATATCACAGGCTCCTGGTAGTCAAGAAGCCATTTCCCTGTTCCTGGCTACTAGAATATAGACAACATTGTACTGTTCCTAGTAGGATTATCTGCTAAGAGTAAGGGATGAAATACTGGCAGACGTTTTCCTAAAGAAGATCCTCCCCAGTTGTCAGTAGGACCTTCAGTGGGTAAGTCCAAAAAGTAGGCTGCAAATTCTTAGGAAGGAAAGTTCATTCAAGTAGAAGATAGCCAGAAACAGGACAAAGTGGTACTCTGGATGGTATGTGCCTCAAAGAAATTAGTTTTTACAAAGCTGCTGTGGTTAGACACAGTATTCAAGAGGAAGAACACTGATCTTATGTTCCAACCTATATATACTGTGGAGTACATGGGAATAAGGGCCTCTGATGTGACTGTCATCGAGTAGATTTATTTTTCTCCCAGGTTAAGGTAAAGAAGGCAGTGTTTACAAAAGTAGTTGAGGATATTAAGGGAATTTCATTGTCACGCAGGAATCTTAGAAGACACCGTGGTTAGTTTCCAGAATAGCATGAGGAATATAGAAGTATGTGATGAAAGTATTGACAGAACAAACAACAGAGCTAGGGGGTGAACTGAGGCTTTGGACCATAACCAGTCCAAACAAAATTTAGAGGGAGAATACATTACATCCCAGAAGTCTCTAAGAGGAGTATGAATACTTAAGTCTAGTAAGATTCATATAAAGTTTGGAAAGGAGAGCTTACAATCAGGTGAAACCAACCTTTTGTTCATGAGGTGTTAGCAGCCCTAAGGGGTTCAGCAGTAGCAGTAAGCAGTTGGAAAATGATCCCAAATACATGTGGTTCTTGGGCAAGATCATCATCTTTAGTACTCACCGAAGGGTTGTGCTCTACCTGGTTTGCAATGTATACATGAATTCTGGCCCAGTAATCTTGGTACACCAGCAGGTAGATTCAGGAATGGTTTCACCCAAAATATCTCTTGGTTTTATGGTTGTGTGCAGTGATAGCAAACCTTTTAGAGCTTTCATTGATAACAAACAGCCCTCAGTGGCATGCGTGCCACAGGTTCACCAGCACTGCACTACAGATTGAACCATTATAAATCTTTGAGGACAATCTCATTAAGTCACTAAGTTGTTCAGGCTGGGCTCTAACTTGTGATTGTCTTGCTTCCGCCTTTGAGTACTGGGATTATAGATGTTTGCCACCACACTTGGCTTCTCACCTAGATCTTACTGCACCTCTCAATTGCCATGATTTAAATCTTAATTTGTTCTAGTATATTTTCTATATAGTGGCCATAGTATCTTTGTTTTTTAAAAAAAAAAGACTTCATTGTAGGGCCGAGGATTTACCTTAGTGGTTCTGATGCCTGCCTTGCAAGCACAAGGTCCCAAGTTCGATCCCTAGTACCAAAAAAAAAAAAAGACTTCATTTTTTTCATTTAATTTTATTTTTTGGTACCGGGGATCAAACTCGGGTCCTTGCACTTGCACAGCAGGCGCAAAACCGAGCTAAATCCCTGCCCCAAGACTTCATGTTTTAAAAAATTATAAATGTAATACAGAGAAAAATTGCCCTAAACAGAAGATAGCTTTTCTCCTTCTGGTTCTACTGCCTTAGAAATTTAACACTGTACGTGTATGCATTGTTAGACTGTAATATATGTATATACAGATTTTTTTCTGGTACCAGGGATTGAACTCAGGTCCTTGCGCTTGTGGGACAGGTGGCGGAACCACTGAGCTAAATCTCCAGCCCACTATACAGATATTTACTAATAAGATTAAAGTATATCTGAGTGTGATAATATAAACTTATAATTCCAGTACTAAGGGAGGCTGATAGGAGGACCACAAGTTCAAGTCCAAGTCCTCTTAGGGCAACTTAGCAAGACCATCTCAAAAGATGAAAAGGTAGAGAATGTAGCTCAATGGTAGAGCATACCCTGGGTTCTGTCTAGTACTGCCAAAAAAAATCTGAATACCTTTCATTCCTTGCATTGTGATTCCATGTTATGTAGTTCTATTTTTATCCTTAATAGCTGTAGAATATTTGGTTACATAATTATACTATAATGTGCTTAATCTCTTCAGATTTATTTACAACAGTAAACTATAATGCAGGGAACAGTATTGTTTACATATCTTGCTTTCATTTGTTTGCTGTTCTACTCTTGGAGTGATCCATCTAAAGTACTAATCCAATCATACTACTTTTCACTTTTAATGCCTCCAGTGACTTCTTTGAAAATCTTACAAGAACTTGCTGAAAGTGTTACCTACCTTTTCAAGTTTTTTCTTTTTGCAGGGGGCGGGTGAAGTACTGGAGGTTGAACCCGGGGCTACATCCCCAGCCCTTTGTAAATTTTTTTGAGACGAGGGTCTCATTGAGTCACTGAGTTGCCAGGCTGGGGCTCAAACTTGGAATTGTCCTGCCCCAGCCCAGTGCTGGGATTACAGCGGTGTACTACATACCCATCCCCCTCTTTACCTCCATAGTCTCTCCCTACCTTAACCTGGCATATTCTTTTTTAGGCATAGTATTTTTGTCTGCTGTAACATTAC